ACCACTGGTCTAGTTTGACTCATCAGGAAAAAAAAACTTGGGGGGATGAGCAAGTTTTATATCATGGCATCATGAATGTATCAACTGATAGAAGAATACTCTTCTCCTTTGGACAGTTTCAATAGATTTTAAGTCAGCATTTGACCTGAACTGGAGAGATAGTTTATGGCAAAAACATTAGGATACTAACTCTGGCAAAAATCTGTTGATTCTTATCACCAGTCTTTATGATTAAATTTATTACAAGTGAGATCTAGTCATAGAAACCATTTTGACTACGTCAATACCAACACATAGTGAAATCAAGCAACTCAATAACACTTGCTGAAATAAATTCTCATCCACTTAAATTGGCAGGTAGATCAATTTTACTTTAGTGCTTCTGTGTTTTGTTATGTGTGAGGTGACTATTCAGAGTTTTGGATAATTTTGTTTGCAATGGTAAATATATGACTCCTTGTCTTATATTATGTTCATTTAGTTTAATATTTGGTCAATTTCAGTTAAGTTCTGTAAGTTATAAGTTAGACTGATTTCATTTATTTCATGTTTATGTNATGTTTGTCATTTTTGTTTTTCTGTGGAAACTGCCCTTAGTCTATTTCCTAAATCTTATGCAGGATTCATTGACGAAGCCCCTGTCCAAATACATTGTTACACTACACAGATCTTGTTGTTTGATACCATTTCAACTGTCATGACTCTGAGGGAAATCCGGGGTTTATAGTTTTCATTCGTTATTAGATTTTCCTCCCAAGGAACTCCAGTGTTGCACTTCAAAGTTGTGAGCTAGAGTTCTCTAACAGGTGGATTCCAAGTACCTCAAAAATTCACAAATCTCAGGATTACATAAGATAGAGCCATAGCAGAGAGATCTCTACTGGCCTTAATGACATAATGGATTTCCCTAACTGGTCACAAGGCAGATTTTGACTCCAATGAGAATTGCAATATAGTATATATAATGTGCATTGTATTATATCTGAAGTCCATAGAACTGTTTGTGGATACTAAATCAAGTATATTCTACAACACTCAAACTCTCAGGAGTCATAAATACACATGTTCTAGTGATGTAAATGTTTGCATTAAAATTTTGTCAGCCCTTTGTGAATAACATAACAAAAAGTGAAACAATACAAATAAAACAGATAATTTTGCTCCAGATTTGCCTATTACAGAACGTACATGACAGGTGCTTGAATGTCAGACGACAATGTGGACAAATAATCCTTTTTTTAGGCTGGGTTCTGCATGAATTCTGCAACTGAAATGATCCTGGGGGACTAACATATCCTATTTTCCTTGATGAGGATTTAAACTGTCCAATTAAAGATCTTTTAGAAGGAACCAAACATGGAGATCCCCAGATGTCCAATCCATATCCTGGCAGCCCAGTCCAGCATCATCTGGAAAACTAAGTAATTCTTTCTTTCAGTTTTGGTAGGATTATCCAAAAATCAGCCTATAAATCTATATAAAATTTCTGACTGTTTGTGACTGCATCGTGGGAAAACAGATTTGAATTTCCTCCAATGTCTTATGTTATGTCTGGGACAGTCTGACTTAAAATACAGGCTATGTAGCACAAATATATTTTACTTTGGGAGCCTAGGGGCACTCCAATTATATTTTCATTCAAACATAGCAGCGTGTTTGGCAGAAAATTAGGAAAGACATGCTCTGTCAAGGGCAATGGAGACTGATGTGCAACAAGAGGGATGTTTGTGCCCCCAAGAGAGATAAGCACTCATTCATTCGCCAGTGCAATTGAAACTGAACAGTCATTAATAATCGTTAATGAATCTCTTGAATAGTACTGGATTCCATAGCTAGAATTGTCATAAATAAAACAAAGTAGTTGGGAACTGAAGTTCAAAAGTACAAGTGTTTTGAATGTTCTTTCTAACATTTATCATAACCCTGGCCACACAAAATTTGGTCTTCCCTGTATTTACTGTTGGAAAAATGTGAATACATATATTCCCACTGTGTCTATTCATCTAGCAAACTGCTTTTTAAAAATTAATTATATTAATAATGTTATAAATACATTAACCTTGCAAATATCATACAACAATCCACCTCCATCTTGTGAAACATTCTGATACGGCAAGGGGAGAACAATGCAGTAATTCCCATGTTGTAATCACCTCATTATCCAGTCTAATCTGTGCCTTCCTCGCTCCAAGTTTTTTCAGGGATCGCGGACGAGAGCCTGAGGCTTCCTGCTGTAGAGCATTTTCTGTTTTTGACTGAAAGGGGGAAATCATTTTTATTCTTTCAACATCACCATTTGCCAGCACCCGACAAATACCATGTATAAAAACTTGTTCAATGGCTTGCATAAACAACCAACTTTGGGAAATGCTATGAGAGAAGACTATAAAGTGCACCTCCAATTTCTAACCAGATATAGATTTCAATTTTTAATGCCTGTAAGCAACAGCATAATTAGCAGTAAAAATTTAGGTTGGAATCCTGATGCTGCCATGACAGCAAACATTACTTTTTCAAGCAGGCCATAGGAACAGCAAACACAGGGAACAGCAGCAAACCCAGTTTCAATTGGAAGATAAAGCTGTTCTTCCATTCCTATGCCACTTGAGAGCATGAAGAACAGCTTTATCCCATGATGATAATGATGATGATGATGATCCATTGGAACTTTTGCCACTAATACCATCTGCCTGTGACAAAACACTGGTGGGATCACAAGCTTGAAAATGTTACAGAAAATGAACACGTCAAACTACCCTGGGACTTCTGAATGCAGTCTGATAAGAGTTTTGGAGCATAATACTCCTGACCTCATGAACGAGGGGAAAAAAACAAAGTATGAATCGTCGATGTTGCAATCCCAGGCAACAGCAGAATTGACGAGAAGAAACTGGAAAAGCTTACTCGATACGAGGATTTAAAGATCAAACTGCAAAGACTCTGGCACAAACCAGTCAAGGTGGTCCCAGTGGTGATCGGCACACTGGGTGCAGTGCCTAAAGACCTTGGCCTGCACTTAAACACAATCGGCGATGACCAAAATTACTATCTGTCAGCTGCAAAAGACCACCCTACACAGTGTCATATGTTCTGCAATTGATGGTGGTTGGTGATGGAAGAGTTAATGTGAGCATTAGTTTTAGGGGGGTTGGTAATCAGTATGTGGGAGTTCATGGGTGAAAGCAATTAGGGGTGGAGGTGTTCAGGAGATGGGTTGCAGCTGGGTGATGCTGGATTTAAGGAGTTAACCTTGAGACTGATCTTTGGGATAAAAGTATATGCTGTATTTTGGTGGTGGATGCTGCTGGTTTTTCCCCCAGGTCTGTTGGATTTTTCGGTATCCTGACCTGTCTCCTGTAATCTTGGAATCCTGGAACCTTGAACTGGCTTTTGATTACGGTATAGACTCTTGATCCCTAGACTTTGTTTATTGAACTCTCGGCATTTGACCACTGGACTGGACCCTTTTGACTACGGAGTTGTTTTTGCTATCAGTTTTTGTTTATTCTGTGGCTGAGTGCTATCTTTATGTTTTGGGTCTATTAAAACAGCCATCCAGTAAGTGCTGTTTTAATTAAACTGTTTGATAAAACTGGGAGTTTGGTTAATCTCTACCTAAACAAGGTAGAGCCCTGGCAATGTGACACACAGATCTGCAGGTGTTATTTGCCAATACAACACATAGTCCTAGACACTTGTGTCTGATGTGTGATCGAATACAAAAGCCAGCATAGTGATCTTGTTTGCTGTGTACTAATCTTGTTGTGTATCAAATAATAATAACTATTATTATTATTATTATTATTATTATTATTATTATTATTTCTTAGCCATCTCTCCTCAAGGTGGGTAAGAAACAAAGATGGTTTTTGATGAGCCTCCTCCCTTCACTGCATCACAAAAAAGCCATTGCACTGTTGTGACCAAACCACCTCTTCCACTGGTCAATGGAAACTTGACTTAAATTACTTAACTATTAAATATTACATTAACTATACCCTGTACTTCAGAGCTGTAAATCACAAGATTGTGCATCTCCAATGAGCCTGAAATTAAAAGCCTTAATCTGGCAATTTCCCATCAAACCTGATTAAGGACACACTAAAGAACCTAACACTCTGAAGGCATCAGATCCCATGTGATTCTGGAAGCCATGCAGTGTTAGTATTAGATGCTGGGTTGCAAAGAATAAAAGATGCTGTAGCTTACATTTCAGAGGAAAGCAATGACAAACCTCTGAGTATTCCTAAGAAAAATGTATGAAATGCATAGGATTGCCATAAATTGGCAGGTGAGTGAAGGCGGGTGCACACAAAGTGGAATGGATTCTCACTTTTTAGTCCAATACACTGGGCTTCCTTTTGTTTATACTAAAGTTACTCTGTTTATACTCAAAGTTGGTGAGCACTGTGTCCAGACAGCTGTGCTATCCAGTCTTCCTGAAAAGGAATCATGGTTTTACCTCAATAAGTTCATCATTTATTACCCTACGGAGATTACTTTTGACTTCAGCTCATTTTGGCTGAGATGCCGGTTGTGACTGTAACAATGATGACAGAGGAAAAACTGCTAAGTTGACCTTTGCTGCCAGGCAGCATTCTGGATGAAGAATTTGTGTAGCATTGGAGATTGTGGCATGACTTGGAGACAGGCAACTGGAGAGACCCTACCGCAGCTACTTATTCCAAGTCAACATGTGACCTGGAGCGTACAGACACAATTTCCCAATGTCCATAACTACAATGTTCATAACTACAATGTGAATTTAGATTTTATATTTAGCATCTAACCTTCAGGGGCCTGACCCTGGTAAAAATTAGTGATTAGCTTTCAATTCTAGAAGCAAGCAGGTTCTTGTAAGTTTTAAACATGTATTTCTTTTAATTTACAACCATTCATATTTTTATACAACTATGTGCACTTAGGGAAATGCAAAGATACAGAATGGGGGACGCCTGGCTCAAGAGCAGTATTTGTGAAAAAGATCTTGGGGTCCTCTTGGACAACAAGTTAAACATGAGCCAACAATGTCATGCGGTAGCAAGAAAAGCCAATGGGATGTTGGCTTGCATAAATAAGAGTATAGTGTCTAGATCCAGGGAAGTCATGCTACCCCTCTATTCTGCCTTGGTCAGACCACATCTGGAATACTGTGTCCAATTCTGGGCACCACAACTGAAGGGAGATATTGACAAGCTGGAATGTGTCCAGAGGAGGGCGACTAAAATGATCAAGGGTCTGGAGAACAAGCCCTATGAGGAGTGGCTTAAAGAGCTTGGCATGTTTAGCCTGAAGAAGAGAAGGCTGAGAGGAGACATGATAGCCATGTATAAATATGTGAGAGGAAGTCATAGGGAGGAGGGAGCAAGCTTGTTTTTTGCTGCCCTGGAGACTAGGACACAATGGAGAAATGGCTTCAAACTACAAGAAAGGAGATTCCACCTGAACATGAGGAAGAACTTCCTGACTGTGAGAGCTGTTCAGCAGTGGAACTCTCTGCCCCGGAGTGTGGTGGAGGCTCCTTCTTTGAGGCATTTAAGCAGAGGCTGGATGGCCATCTCTTGGGGGTGCTTTGAATGCGATTTTCCTGCTTCTTGGCAGGGATGGCCCACGAGGTCTCTTCCAACTCAATGATTCTAGGAAGGTCATCAGACAGGGAGAAACCATCTCCTTACTCTGTGTAGTCTTCCAAAATAATAGGCCCTCTACCACTTGAGCTCACTTTAGAAGGTTTGCATGTATTTACTCTCACCCGTGCTGCTTTCAGTTTCTCTCTCATGCGTTCTCTCACAGAAGTTTCAACAAAGCTTGATTCTAAGGTAGAGGGAGGTGGAGGCAAACCTACAAAAAGAAGATATTATTATTGTTATTACTACTGTTGTTATTTTGTAATAAAATTAATCCCACATTCTACTGAAGTTAGCAAAATAATTACAACACAACGAAGAAAGCATTTAAAATAAGGATTGCCACTGCTAAATCAAACTGCAACAAAGCAAATATCTGATCTACATAAAGGCAAAGTAGAAACATTTAAGAACATTACCCTCCTGGATCAGATCAAATCCAAAGACCTCAGCCCATCTGGTAAAGGATTTGCAAAGGTTGCTGACCAGCTGCATCTACACACTCACTTTTGTGACATACTAATGATAGCTATATCTAGCTCTTTGTCTCCGCTATGGGATATGTTTGTATGTGATTTCCAAAATGGCTCCCACTTTCACAGATCCCTGTAACTCCTGCCAATGACAGATCTGGATGAAATCTAGCACACAAATCCCCATGACCAATAAAAAATACTGGTGGGTTTTTTGAGGGGAATTGATTCTGGATTTTGAGATTTATAGTTTACCCCATATCCAGAGAGCCCTATGACTCCCACTAACAATGGATCTCAGCCAAACCTAACACACAAACCCAACATAACTAACTTTAAGTGCTGGTGGGGCTTGGAGGGGTTTGATGTTGGAGGTTGGGAGTTATAGTTCACCCACATCCAGAGAGCACTGTGAACCCAACCAACAATGGATCTGGACCAAACCTGGCACACATACCCAACATGACCAACTTTGAACACTATGCAACAAAACTGGAAACATTTTATGTTCCTGGTTTAAAGGCATTGTTTCTTGTTTAATTGTGCTTTGAAAGTAGTTGTTAAATTGTTACACTCCAAAAATTTCATTTTTGTGGCTGCCAAAAACTGTGTTGAATTGGTTGGGACTCTACGAGACATTCATTGAAAAACTTATAGCAAAAGGTGCCCCAGGATGTCCCGCAAAAACAAAGTTTTTGCAGTGTAATAAACCTATTCTGTGTTTCTTATGATAGATATGAAATGACCCAGGCACAAAAATCATGTTACATAGTATAATCAAGTTATCACCACTGGCTTGCTATCAACTTATCTCCCTCCTTCCCTTTTGTTTTCATTCTCAATACAGGCATTCCCTTATTTGATGGGTTAGGGACCAGAGAATTGCCAAAAATTGGAAATTGTCAAAATGCAGAATGAGTTTTAAAGATGGTGGAGTAGCGGTGAGGCAGCTACAAGCATGAAAAACTGATGCATGTGACTAGAAAATATGGAATGGAAGAAGAGGAGAAGTGAGTGATTAATGGAAATGGCAGGGTGGAATAAAGCAAGATAAAGCTTCCCAATGAAGTAGATCTGCACAAAGCTCTGAACAACAATTAACCCCCATTTCCATTAGGACATTTCTGACTGGGTGACGTTTGGAGAGAGGGACGAGATGGTTGGAGTGGAGGACAGAAGCAGTTTGGATTGCTGACAAAAGAGCAGATTATTGAAAAGGAGAAAAGCGGAGGCTGTTTGTATTGTAAATTGTAAAATACCCTAAATGCCCTATCAGAAAGCTATAGACCAGTGGTTCTCAAACTATGGGTCCACAGGTGTTTTGGCCTACAACTTCCAGAAATCCCAGCCAGTTTACCAACTGTTAGGATTTCTTGGAGTTGAAGGCCAAAACATCTGGGGACCCACAGGTTGAGAACCATGACTATAGATAAAAAAAGGTAAAGGTTGTCCCCTGACATTAAGTCCAGTTATGTCTGACTCGGGTGTGGTGCTCATCTCCATTTCAAAGCCGAAGAGCCAGCGTTGTCCATAGACATCTCCAAAGTCATGTGGCCGGCATTACTGCATGGAGCACCGTTACCTTCCCGCCGGAGCGGTACCTATTGATCTATTCACATTTGTATGTTTTCGAACTGCTAGGTTGGCTACTACTATAGATACAAACATGAAAAAGGGTGATTGAATTGTCTGGTCCCACAAAATATAATGCTTACAGGGAGACTGGAGAGAAAACAAGAAGTTGATACAACATGGAGTACACACAGAAAGAACTGAGATGATTTTCCAAGAGGGAAAAACTAGGGAAGTCAGAAGTACTGCTTTCCAAATTTGGAGATGGATAGGAATACTGGGCCAACAGCATTAGTCCAATTGTAATCCCACACACAATGCAGCCATTCCGAAATCCTAAAAAATTAGTTCCTTCTGATCTATCTCTTGATACTTTTCCTAGTGCCTTTGTGAAAGATCATTTTGTGCATGGCAATAAACACAAAGAGCAGCATTCAAGGAGCACTTTCCTTACAAAAGGAAGCACTTGAAGCTAAGAGGAAAGAACATGCAGATATTCTGTCTCCTTGCCTGAAAATAGTTCAAGTTCACATTATGATGGCCAATGACCAGCTCATGAGAAGAGGGACACAATCCTGCACAAACACATCAATGCCTGAAAATAAAAATCAAGAACAATGAACAAGATTTCTTTCTGACAGACTATCAGGTCACTAGTTTTTATGTGCAGAATTGTATGGACCCCTAAAACTGGAAAGTTGATAAAACTGTTGTAAGGCAGAACCTACGTGAACATTCTCACAGCAACCATATAGACTTGGAATGAACTTCACAATGTTTTCATCTTCCTGCATTTGTCATGGGGATAGCTGTCAAATACTAAAACACCATTTCCTCATTATCCACAGCTGTTTTCTATTCCCTATTAGTCTTCCTGATTAGTGTATTTAAATACTGCCAATGTCTTGGAGTTAAAAGGACAGTTCTGAATCCAAGAGAGTGTAGAGATTAAACAAAGGGAAATGGGAGGGGTGTTTTTTGCCAAAGGATGTTTAAAAAAGGAAAATATGGAACAAGACTCAGAGGAGAATGAGAGTATCTTGTTGCAATTGTTAATCATTCCATGGATGTAATTTTATATATGGGCTGTCAGACTGGGATAAGTATTAAAAAATAAATAGTAAGTTGAGTGACTTTTGTGGGATATTAAGCAAAGTCCGGACATGCTGGGATTTCCCTCTCCCTCACCCACAAAGCTGTCTTGGGACAATACCTAGCCTTTACAAATATGATAATTAAGTTCTATCATTACAGAAAAACAGAGAAGCAAATTAAAGGCATTTATAAGAGAGCAGAGAACAGAATTCAGAAAGGCTTAAAGAGATCAAGACTTATGGAGTCCTCTTTCCTTCAAACCACACAATTTCTACTTCCAAGTAAGAAGTAATGATTTTGGATCTCACATGCCATCCATGACAAGGCATGTAAGAAAACATTGATTCCAGAGTCAGGGTATGGGAGGCCTCCTTAAAATAAAAGAGCCCCATGAGAATTTTAATATACAATTAAGAGTTAGCTACATTACAGAACATTCATATAACTAGTCTATTAGGCATGTTAGCTAAATGTAGTCCTCATATTTCCTTTTTTTTGATGTCAGGAACGACTTGAGAAACTGCAAGTCGCATCTGGTGTTAGAACATTGGCCATCTGCAAGGACGTTGCCCAGGGGATGTCCAAATGTTTTGACGTTTTACCATCCTTGTGGGAGGCTTCTCTCATGTCTCTGCATTGAGAGGTGGAGAGAGCTCATCCACACTCTCCCCAGATTCGAACCTCTGGCCTGCCAGTCTTCAATCCTGCTGGCACAAGGATTTAACCCACTACACCACTGGGGGGGGGGGGTGGGTGGGTCCTATGAATATCTTATTCCCTATGAATACCTTATGCTCAACAGGGAGGGCAAGTGGTACTGCATACTCTGTCCCTGAGATTTTTGGAGGTCTCTGGATGGCCACCAATTGATTCAAAGTATTGAACTTTTTTTTGTCGTGTCAGGAGTGACTTGAGAAACAAGTCGCTTCTGGTGTGAGAGAATTGGTCATCTGCTAGGACGTTGCCCAGGGGACGCCCGGATGTTCTGATGTTTTATTATCCTTGTGGGAGGCTTCTCTCATGTGCCTGCATGAGGAGCTGGAGCTGATAGAGGGAGCTCATCTGCGCTCTCCCTGTATTTGAACCTGCAACCTGTCAGTCTTCAGTCCTGCCGGCACAAGGGTTTAACCCACTGCGCCACCAGGGGCTAACTATTGAACTAAGAGTGCATCTATACTGTAAAATTAATACTATTTGATAAAACTTCAACTGCCATGTCTTAATGCTATGGCATTATGAAAGTTGTAATTGTACAAGGCCTCTAGCCTTCTCAGCCCAGTAGTGTTGGTGCTTCACCAAAATACAACTCTCATAATTCTGGAGCATTGAGCCATATCCGTTAAAGTAGTGTCAAATTGAATTAATTCTACAGTGTAGATGCAACCCTGTTTTAGTCTGATGTTGAGAAAACTGCTACATGGAAATCCAACTGCACCATTTCATCTATTCACCACCACCAGGCAACAGCACAAAACAAAGTATCTGCAACAACCTGGCATCATAAACAAATGTCACATAAATATATAGGGGTTTAGGATGCTTTCACCCATAATTCTGAAGGTAAATAGCATGGGAACTATTGTAGATTATAGGAAATAATTCTTGAAGTGTACAATGCCAATATTAAAGCAACTCTACTGGCTGCCATTAGGTTTCTGGTCCCAATTCAAGGTGTAGGTTGTTACTGATGTTAATTGTAATGATTTTTTTTACCTGTGTTAAATGTTTTTAATGTTTAAATTATTTTTGTACTGTTGTGGGCATCGAATTGTGCCATTTTGTAAACCACTGTGAGTCGCCCTCAGGCTGAGAATGGCGGTATAGAAGCATAGTAAATAAATAAATAAATAAATAAATAAATAAATAGGTTATGACCTACAAAGCCCTAATGGTTTGGGTCCCACCTATCTTCATGATTGCATTTCCCCCTATGAACCAGCATGGGCTCTAAGATCCTACGGGGAGGCCCTCCTCTCGGTTCCACCACCTTCACAAACACAGCTGGTAGGGATGAGAGAGAGCCTTTTCAGTGGCAGGCACTTGACTTTGGAACACCCTCCTCAGGGAGATTACACAAGCCCCCACACTGTCTTAGATGTTCAAGGTGGTATTTGAGAGCGACTAGTCCCTAACTATAAATGGCCAGTCCCTAGGTCACCAAATAGTACTCTGTTTTGCCCTTTACCCGCTTCCCCAGCCCTATGATATGCTGTTTGAACTATTCCTTGCCCAGCCCCTTTATAGCTTGGGCACGTCTATTTTAGTAATCCTGGTCATTAGTTTTTGTTGAATCTTGTCTAATAAAGCTTCAATGCAATCCGTGTTTTTCTTTTTCTTTTTTCTTTTATGTTTAGTGTGTTTTTATCTGGGTTGTTGTATTTTATGATGCTCCTATTTTAATGTCTTTTGTTTTATGAATTGTGTTTGCTTTTATGTCTTGTGGACATTCTGCCCCATATGTAAGCTGCCCTGAGTCCCTTCGGAGAGATGGTGGTGGGTATAAGAATAAAGGTATTATTATTGTTGAAGAGTAATTTGGCCTTTTGTGGTTCCAAAGTAAATGCTTTGGAAATGGCTGCATATTATAATCTGCATACTAACTTTATATATTTCCCTGATTTTTAGCTATAAAATTTACATTATTACAATTTTTAGTTTACAGTGATAAAGTAGTATTGATTCCCTTCTTGAAGTGATAGCAGCTACTCAGGCATTTCTCTAAACCACTCTGCACACATTGACCGAACACTTACTGCGTGGCGTGTGAACACGAGTAGTTTCCATGGTGTATTAGCCAGGATTGTTAGATGGTACTTGTATGGTCTTTGGCACCTAAAAGACAGATTGGGAAGAAAATAGATCATGATAATTGCCAAGTGCTTAACAGTAAGAATACCAGATGACCCAGATGACTATTACTTCCCTGTCAGTGTTCTGAGCATACATAGGTAATGTATGCTCAGGGAGACCTTTAAGGAGCCCCTGGTGGCACAGTGGGTTAAAGCACCGAGCTGCTGAACTTGCTGACTGAAAGATTGCAGGTTTAGATCAAGGGAGCAGCGTGAGCTCCCGCTATTAGCCCCAGCTTCTGCCAACCTAGCAGTTCGAAAACATGCAAATGTGAGTAGATCAATAGGTACTGCTCCAGTGGGAAGGTAACAGTTGTCCATAAACACCTTGGAGGTGTCTATGGACAACGCTGGCTCTTCGGCTTAGAAATGGAGATGAGCACCAACCCCCAAAATCAGACATGACTGGACTTAATGTCAGGGGATAACCTTTACTTTTTAGATAGGAGACCTTTACTGCAAGACAGTGGATTGCATCTGAGATGCTAGTCTGGGGGCAAGATGACACAATGAAGTCAATTTTGCAACTGTTTCTCTGTGGAAGACTTGAGGAAGGGAAACAGGTGACTGTTGAATACCACAAAATAATGGGTGTCTTGCCTGTCTGTAGAGCCATGGCTCCAAGCAGAACCATCTACCCAAGACCCTATAGACATGCTAAGAGGATGCTATGGTGATGATGATTTTTTAAATTTCTTATCAACCTCTCCTTATGTCTCAAAGCAAGGAGATGTGCACATTGGAATTATATGTTCTCTAAATTAATGCTCTGTTTTACATTATCTGTGTTTGAGGCAGTCTGTGTCATCCTTACTCAATATTTTTGGAACTGGGAGAAGCTAATCCGAGGAATAGAATAAAAGAGCCGCTCTTCCTCCCCAACTGTGTATAGAGCACCCTCACACTCACCTATGACTCCCAGGAGTTTTGAAGTTCTTCTTGTTCCTTGGCACTAAGGAAGATCAAATCTAAGGGCAGAAGCACTGTGTATCCAAATCTAATGACTATGTAACTTTTCTTTGGAGTGTCACTGTGTTTCAAGCTGCTAGGTTGGCAGAAGTCGGGACTGACAGCAAAAGCTCACGCTGCTCCCCGGTTTCAAACCTGCGACCTTTCGATAAACAAGCTCAGCGCTTTAACCCACTGTGCACCGGGGGCTCCTTATATATACTATATACTATATAATATACTAGCTGTCCCCTGCCACACGTTGCTGTGGCCCATTATGTTGATCTGGAAAATAAAGTAATGAGAAAGTGTTGGTTTCTAATATATGTAATTTCTTTATGTTTGTGGGTAAACAGTATTTCTTGCTGTTTCTTAGTCAGTGTTGATGTGGAGAGTGTCTTGTTTGCCCACCCTGGAATATGCAACATATCATTGTCTTTCTTTAAGGGTCCCTTTCAAATCTATGGGGGGTTCAGAATGCTCTTTGATTGTAGGTGAACTGCAAATCCCAGTGACTACAACTCCCAAATGTCAAGGTCTATTTCCCCCAAACTCCATCTGTGTTCATATTTGGGCATATTGAGTGCTTGTGCCAAGTTTGGTCCAGATCCATCATTGTTTGAGTCCACAGTGCTCTCTGGATGTAGGTGAACTACAACTCCCAAACTCAAGGTCAATGTCCACCAAACACTTCCAGAATTTTCTGTTGGTCATGGGAGTTCTGTGCACCAAGTTTGGTTCAATTCCATCGTTGATGGAGTTCAGAATGGTCTATGATTGTTGGTGAACTATAAATCCAAGCAACTACAACTCCCAAATGACAAAATCATAATTTTTTGAGTGACGGTCACTCCTTGTGTTGTGAGACATTTTGTTGCCAAATTTGGTGTGATTTCGTTCATTGGTTCTTTTGTTTTTAAGGTATTCATTATGCACAGAGCATTTATATATATAGATAGAAGATTAAGATATATAATATATATATTATATATATTATCTATTATATAATCTATATTTTATAATAATATATAATCTTATATTACATGTAAAATATATAGTATATTATATAAACAATAGTATATTATATATACTATATTATATAGTACCGCCTTGAGTCACCGATAAGGCTGAGAAAGGCGGTATACAAGTATAGTAAATAAATAGTAATATATATAAATGGTATAGTACAATATAGTAATATATAATCCTGATATGGTACTATGCTAATAATATAATATATATTGTGTGTGTGTGTGTGTGTGTGTGTGTGTGTGTATATATATATAGGGTTATTGTAGGTTTTTTCGGGCTATATGGCCATGGATAGATAGATAGATAGATAGATAGATAGATAGATAGATAGATAGTAAGCCACTGTGAGTCCCTTTCAGGGTGAGAAGGGCGGCATATAAATGTCATAAATAAATAAATACATTCAATTTCAAAGCATATAATGTGGGATTTTATTCAGCTCTGTGGAAAGGGGGCTGTGAGTTTTTAAAAAAATTACAATTACAAGTGAAACAACACTGAAAATGGGCACAGTTTGTTTATATACATACATACATACATACACACATATACATACATATACATATATATATTATTGATAATTGATAATGAAAAGTTGGGGAGAAAGGGTGGGTAAAGTGGGAGAAACTAACTAGTTTCTCCCACTTTAAAAAAGGAGGGGGGACACAAGCAGTTTGTAATGCATAGCAGACAAAGAGGTCTTTGCATGTGCAGTACAATAATATATGCTGTAGCAGGGAGACTTTGGAAGGCTCAGCTAGACTACAGAATGAATACAGCTGGACACCGCTTGGAACTGCCAGGACTCAGTGCTGGAAGCTGTGGTTTTACAGGGCCTTGGGCCTGCTCTATTGGGGCCTCCCCAAAATTCAGTAATTGCTAGGAGCTCCAATGGGAGGAACTCCTTCCGCGCGCACGAGCTTCGAACTCGAAAAGCGCGCGCTTTTCCCCGGGTTGGTCTTGTTGCACTTACCTTTTTGCTTGCAAGGAAAGGCGGGGAGTCACGAGAAGGTTTCCCAGCCGTGCAACGAAGGCCTTTACCCGGTGTAATCGCCTTCAGCCCGCATGCCCGGGCGCTTGGCAACGAAGAAGCAGTAGCAGGAGGAGGAGGAGCAACAGCAAGAGGAGGAAGGAGGAGCTCAGAGAGTGGCCTCACAGGCCTCAGCACTGGGCCCGCCTTCGTCATTCCTCCAGCCCAGAGGGAAGGAAGAAGCCCAGCATCTCTGTGTTTGTCTTCTTCCTCCAGAGTGCATTATATACTCAGGTACCTTTAACAGCCACACTAAACTACAATCCCCAGAACTCTGCAGGAGGCAGAAACTGGATTTGAAGTGGGTTTTTTTCTCTAGTGCAGTGATTCTCAACCTTCTTAACAGTTCCTCATGTTGTGGGAACCCCCAACTCTAACATTATTTGAGTTATTTCAAAATATTTGAGTTATTTCATAACTGTAATTTTTCTACTGTTATGAATCGTAATGATATATTTTCATTTGCTGGACCAAATTTGACCCAAATACCCGATACGCCCAAATTTTGAATACTGGTGGGGTTGGGGGGGGAGGGTTGATTTTGTTATTTGGGAGTTGCTGGGATTTATAGTTCACCTCCAATCAAAGAGCATTCTGAACTTCATCAATGATGGAATTGAACCAAACTTGGCACACAGAATTCTAATGACCAACAGAATATACTGGAAGAGTTTGGTGGGCATTGAGTTTTGGAGTTCTAGTTCACCTACATCCAGAGAGCACTGTGGCCTCAATCAATGATGGATCTGGGCCAGACTTGGCACGGATTGAGTATCTGCCCAGAACACTGGTGGAGTTTGAGGGAAATAGACCTTACATTTGGGAGTTGTAGTTGATGAGATTTATAGTTCACCTACAATCAAAGAGTGT